AGTGCCAATGCATACATTGTGCTTGTAGCCCGTGATGACTGTGACCGTGCAGCGCTGCCACATCCAGCACTGAACTCCCCTGCCTGTAGCAGTAGCAGCCCCAACCTCTTGCCCGACCCTCATGGCATGCTCAAAGCCCGCAAGTGCGACAACGCTGGAGGACGTCAATTGGGTATCCCTACTGACATCTCAGCTGAATCTGGTGCGGGCGCAGCTGAGCGCCTTGACGCGGCAGGTCGAGAACTTACAGCCAGGGCACGCGGAGCTGAAGGACAATCTCCACACGCTCGATGCCCGTCTCCAGTCAATGGAAATGGAGATGCGACAGAATCGGGTGATCAAGGCCAACCTGAGCCAGGTTCCGACTCCGGCTCGTATCAACCTGGAATCTCTGGATGAGTGAAGGCGCCGGTGTGCAACACACAGGCGCTTGCAGCTGCAAGCTCTGCCAGCATCGTAAGCATCTGGCTCAATCAATTTCTTTAAACGGCACTACGGTGCGACATTTTGCTGACCGCCCATAAGTGGCATTAGTGCCTGCCGACTCGATCGGCCGACTCTCTGACGGCGACCGCAGGACAGAGACTTCTCTGCCGCGTGGGAAGAAGAAGTGCTCTCCTACTGTCGCCACTTTTCACAAGCTGTTTGACAAAACCAGCAATGGACGAGGTAGCACATGTCAGAACAGAACCTTGTTGTGAGCCTCTGATAACCACATCGAAAAAAGGTTGTCCCGGTGATGTCGGCAAAGACTTGGGCTCACCGGAAAAAGAAGCTCGTTGGCGGAGAAGGCGAAAAAAAGCAAACACTAAGACTAAGCTAGAACAAGCCACATTCTGGGGCCCTCTGCAACCCCTGGCTCCGCTCGTTCCCCAGCCGCCTGGGAGCTTCCAAAGCTTGGCATCGAAGCCAAGAGCGCGGCCTTCGTGGGCCCGATCCTCAGAGGAGAGAAGGGGCAGAGCGGAGCTCCGACTTCGCGCGGAGGTGCCTTGCCCTCCCGGTTCCGGCCGGTGCGGGCGAGGCACGTTTGCAGCACGACCTGACGCTGGAAAGACTGGAAGAACCGAAGAACCCAGAGCAAGGTTGAAGGGGCTCGGCAAGGTCTGATGCAAGTCCCGCTTCATCAGCCTTCATCTGCTGGGGCTCCAGCTCCGTTGGCCAGGGACTTTCGCAGCACGCCCATTCCTACCTAGCGTGGGAAGATCCATCAAAAGAGCACCTGGGCCTGAGAGGTCACCGGGCCGCGCACGCCACTGAAGAAGCGCGGTGGGCCACCCATCGCCCACAGCTCCTCGCAGGCCTTAGACAGGCTCCCAGCGGAATAACCCAGGGACGCCAAGATAACCAACTCGCGTGGCACGGAATGTCCAAACTCCAACAGAAGCTTTCCTGAGCGATCAGCAGTGGCGATACCAACATTGTTGGCAATCCTTGGCTGTGCCGCTTTCGGGTGTCACCTTCTATTCACAATGACAGCCGTTTTTGCCCGACAGCGAAGGCTGCTCACGAGAGCACGATGTCAGCAGATGCACAGGGGCCAAACGCAACAAAAGTCCATGCTAGACTGGAAGATGCCAGTGTAGAGACAAGGCTGTGAAGGCACGTGGCTGGTAGTTCTTGATGACCACTGGTGGGTTGGCCAAGAACTCGCCCGTACCCGCGGCCAACATGCTGATGCCAAACCTGCCGTAGGCCAAAAGGCAAACGGGAGACAAGGCTCTGGGTCAACCAACGGCGAGCTCGAGGTCAACCACCACTTGGATTTACAATGGAACTCAATCCGCCCTGGAGACGTGAAAGACCTGAGCCCAGAAAAGAGCTGGGGTCCCCGGCGACACCAGCTTGTTGCCTGGACTGGCCACACCACCAGAGGCACACGAGAGACTGTTTGTTGGACGTGCAAAGGCTTAATCAGGACATATCAGGACGTGAGCAATATGCTGGGCACGTGCGGGATCGTAGCGAGACGTTGCCAAGAGCAAACCTTTACCGTATTCCAGTCTCCCATCTTGCTCGACTCAAAATGAGCCCTGTTCCGAAGCCCCCGAACATGGGAACGTGTCTATCTTAGACTTCACATTGAGCCCGGCAGCAGCATCCGCCCCTGCTCTGAGCGGCTTTCTGCCACTTATCCAGCCGCTTCCTCGGCCGACGTGGGGAGGTGTCCGGAAAACTGGCTTTGCACAGCATGTGTAACTAGATGTTGCAGGACGGAGGCACCCCGCCCCCCCGAAATATGCGCTGAGCTTCTGGAGAGTCATGTTGAGGATGAGCGTGATGCCGAAGCGGAAACCCTGCCTGACATGTCCGGATCGGACGTGAAAAGCGGTTCAGGCAACATGTAAATCAAACCGCTGCCGGGGCGGCGCGAAGGAGCCCATGCAAATACCAACCTGAGATGAGCCAGCTCGAGAATCCCAGCATCTGTCCCAAGCCATTCGGCGCCGGACGAAGTATTCGGAGAACTTGTCCGGCATCGGCTTGCCCACGTGCCGGAGCCTGAGATCGACATCCCGCTGCGGAGGAGAATGCTGGGCACTTTGATAGTCACTACAATCACTATAATCTCAGCACCCCAAGCTTTTGTTGGTGAGCACATGCTGACGAAGTTATGTTGCTGTTCCTATCTGCACGTACCCGACAGCTGGTACACGAGCCACACTACACCCATGATTATGTGGGCCCACACAAAACACTACGGAAACTCTCATAAACTAAAACTTCTACAAGCTTCCAGGTTTTCTGTTCTTCGATTCAAGTCCCTCGAGGAATATAAAGCCCCAAGCTGTTGGCCCGGGCCTGCTATTCTCTCCCCTTACTTTGGCAGAAGCCATGCGGAACGACTGTTTCCACCTTTGCCCCGTCTCTGCAGGGGGCAACCTGCTTCAGGAGCTGAGGAGCCCTCACGAGCAATGTCAATGAGTCAACTATCGAAAGAAAGAGACCACACTCTATGAACTGCAGGAAGTTTAGCCACCCAATCTCCGAATCTCCGAGATGCGTCTTCGCCACATCAAGCCTCGTGCTCGAAAGCTTGGATTTGGGCTTGAGCTGTTCTCTCTTCGCTTGCAAGTTCCCCTCCAGACAACCCTCGAGGAGGGGTCCAGTCACTGACGATGTCTCGGGGCACACCCCCTTGGGCCCTCTTACCCCTACTTCAGAACGAACCGACGAAACAGAGTCCTGAAGCAATCAAGAAAGCCTGGTCGCAATCTAAGGCAAGGTCATGCAGGCTGCAAAATGTCAAGAAGGGGGAAGCCAGGCAGCTGGTGCGTCACCGCAGCGGAAACGACACCGGCAAGGCCCCCCGCCCAGAAGGTGAAGCTTCGTTGGATCTCGGCCCAAGGGCGTGGCTGCCAACTCCCAAAAAAGCTTGTTGAAGTGTTGTTCTCGAGGTGTACTGCCGCTGACGGCAAGCTAGAACAACTGCAGAGAGCCCATGCTACGATGAACCTGAGGTCGTGTGTGCCACGCGACATCGCGCGACCATACACAAAGCCAGCCATCTCAGTCAAGCATGGTCGAGTAGAGCTTCTAAAATTCTTTTGCCTTTAATCACGGGGACCTTGTTGGCTGCTTGTGGGGAGGGTCCGGGGTTCGCGGCTACAAGAGAAAACAAAGATGCTGGCATTCTCCGGCAGCGGCGGCTTGAAATCTTCGCGGTCGCCAGCACCACCTGTCGAGGCAGTCAATCCAAATGAAAAACCTCAAGCAAGTGATGTGGAGGAAAGATGTGAGCAGCCAAAAGGGCATCTTGCCACAAACTTCTCCCAAGTCGTTCGGATTGCCTCCAATGCTTTGAAGCCCCACCCATGATGGCCTTCCAATTCCACGGATGATTTTCGTCGACGCCGCTTTCGAATCTGGACGGTGCTGCAGTTGCAGGCGTGTAAAGACACGTGAATGAGCTGGTTGATGCTAAACCCCTGAAAAAAGCAGGGTTACAAAACTGAGCGGATGTTAAGTAAGGTCGAGTCTCAGCAACTGCAGAAAACTTCACACCACTTTGATTGCTTGTTCTTCAATGCAAACTTAGTTAGACTTAGCTTAGTTCCTCTGGCTGCGCCTGGTTTCGCAGCAGAAGAGCGAGCAAGCCCAAGATACAGACATCCACCACAAGGCCCAGCATGTTGGCACGAGGCTAACGTGACTATCGTGCCAAGCGTGAGGGTGTGCGGTCTGCAGCTGACTAGAGGCACGGTTTGCTGGGGTCTTCGTGTCTGCTCATGCTTCTTGTGGTTGCAAACACTTCGCAGCTATAGGCAAGCAGCATGCCCGAGGAAGTCCCTGGGTGATTACATCGACAGAGGTAGACTAAAAGTGTTTTGCACCTACTTAGTCTAGCAAACTGGTTTCACACTGGATCTTCTTCTGCGAGCTGTGCGAGAAGAAATGTGGCATCCTGGTTTTGCTAGGCCCGCAAGTTTTCATCTTTTCCGACGGCATCCAACATTCCACTCAACATTCCCAAACTTGAGCCTGCTTTAAAACAGACGGCGTTGCAAATTCAACCAGACACGACATCCAACCCACCGCTTCGGGTGGGAATTCACCACATGCTGTGCCAACGACCGGCTATTCCTCCAACTGGCGCAATCCCACATGGAAATGATGTCGCAAGCAACAACAGCTCTTGCCAAGCGGTTGCCACTTTCTTGTTTTCCGAACGATGATCATCAGCAGGCCTGCGGCCCATGCTACACGTTTGTCTTAGTAAACTTCTTGGTATGCTCCGATCTGTGTGTGGGGAGCTGGGGCTACCCTCCCTAGAGAGCGGCCGGGCATGCCAGGAGTGTCCTACAGAGTTCGACACGCCCTACGCAATATGCCGGATATGCCGGATATGCCAGGCATGCCGGGAGGGTCCTACAGAGTTCGGCACGCCATATGCAATATGCCGGATATTCCGGATATGCCGGGCATGCCGGGGGATTGCCCCCGGCATATCCGGCATATTGCTTACGAAGTGTTGACCTGCGTAGGACCCTCCCGGACCCCCCGGCATATCCGGCATATCCGGCATATTGCGTATGACGTGTCGACCTTCGCAAGACCCTCCTGGACACCCCGGCATATCTGGCATATCCTGCGTAGGGCCCGGGCGCTCCCGGGAATCAAACCGGGCGCTCCCCGGAATCAAACCGGGCGCTCCACGCAATCAAACCGGGCGATCCCCGCAATCAAACCGGGCGATCCCGGAATCAAACCGGGCGTTTTTGGAAGCAAACCGGGGCACGCTGAGCCAGGGCCCAGGGTCGAGGATCCTCGCTTGCGGTGGGAGGGTCTGGGTTGTGGCACGGCGGTCCAGCAGAGTCGGGCTACCGCCTGGTGCGGAGGACACTGGAGCTCATCGACTACTTCAAGCCCCACTTCTGGGGGCTGGAGAACCCACAGAGCGGGCTGCTCAAGACTCGGCCCTACATGGAAGGGCTGCCCTTC